ATTTTGTTCAGTTTCAAGAAATAGTTGAAATAACACTGAAGTGGGAGAATCTGAGCCAGCAAAATTTAAAAATTGTCTTTGAGAAAATTAAGATTAATATTTTAGAATTTACTTTAAATCTCTATTCAAACAGTGCCACTATGAAAATATTTTTTGTCAGATTGGGTATAACAAATTTAATTCTTATATGGCATTTAATATAATATCAAGTGTAATAATTTTATCAGCAGAACTTATAAATGCTGTTGTATTCATCAAGGCAGGAACAGTTTAAATAATAAGCCAAAATCAATATTTTAAATTTAAATTATTCAGGTTTTATAATTGTAGTCGGAACGAATTTAATCATAATTATAATGAATTAAATCATTCTACATGAATGTTTTCCTTGTCTTAAAAAGAAATCTCTAAGCTTTTATAAAACGAATAATATATAATTTATGCATAATAGTAAATGTATTAAAACCTATTATTATATTTCTTACTGAACATCTTCTATACAATATATATAACATGTCAGGTTTGTAAGTTCGTAAATATTTATATGTATACTCAATCAGCCCCTAGCGTGTTACAGACGCGCTACATATTAAAAAATAAATGAACATCGCCGGGGCAACATCGTTGTATGAATTGAATATCATATAGCGAGTGACGCTGCTGACTCCGCGGAACGAACACCAAGCAGTGTGAAGAAGATTCCTGATACCACACAAGCTATGGAAAGGCATTGCTATCCTAACATCATGTAGTCTCAGGCATAGGTTATAAGTTTTAATATGTAATTTATATTACAATATACATATAAGTAAGTTTCGTAATTTTCCTGAAACCTCTGGTTGCCACCCTTTATAATTACCGTGATAAGTATGTTATGTTATGATTTATTACCATTAGTTTTTAGGGATATTTCTCTTTAGGGATATTTCTATTTCTTTCTTCGACAATTGCTAAAAACATATATACATATAAAGGTAATTTACATTGTGTAATGTACCTATTCGACGCCACTATACCTAATACTTTACAAATTTTCTAATTTGATTCTTCAAATTTTATTACGGCGCCATTCTTGCTGTAAAAATCGTTTGATCTGACTAAATAATCTTTAACTCAATTGCTAATATTTAATTATAAATCATAATTTTTAGTTCCCTATGTGTAGAATTTTATAAATCATTGTTATCTTCTACTTCATAAATAAACAAGCAATCCGAATCCCGGGGTTCCGATATGTATATTTCAATATAGTAAAGTAAATAATATTTTCACTGAGGAAATCCAATTTCATAGCAAACCTACCTCGAGTTAATTGCATGGCCCGAAGCGCTACTTAAAATTACCTACTTGATTGAAGAAAAACACGGTAAACAGTTGAATTAATTGTAAAATGGATTTTGAATTTGGTGGCAACTTATTTTTTTTTTATTGTATATAATAGTCTAAATTTAAAACGTAAATATCGTTTAGTAAAATATGTACTTAAAAAATGAATGGAAATCCACAATTGGGTTCAATAATGTGAGATGACAGAGGAGCATGTATCTATCTTAAGAAGTAATTTAAGAAGTCGACCGAACTATCCACAAATAATACCTGTCATCTGTGCTTGGCAAATATTTATGAAATATTACAACTAAAATTTAAACATATTCGACCCGATCCAAAACAAAAACAGAGCGTATTTACCGTTTACACCCTCTCCCTAAAATAACATACTCTCACTTCCATTTACTATGGTAAATAAAAAAATAAAATAAATAGTAGGTATGACCTACTCGTAGCTATTAGTAGTACCTAGTAGTTATGAACTAGCAAGCTAGCCCTAACTCTTCTAAGAAACATTAGAACTTACAATTTAAGAAGATGACAATCGAGTCATGTGGATTATAACGATCTTAATTAATATTAATTTATTATATCAATAAATATCTTCAATTTGAAATGATTTATAAAATATATTTTTAGATATAATTTACAAAAATCATTGCAATTGTATAACACATTGCAATTGTAACATCTATTGTATCACAGTTCCAGCAAACAACATCCATTCTGACACTTTATGCTTTTCCTAACTTTGTTTTTAAGTTGATGAAAAAATTGACAATAAGTATGTTTTGTAAAATACAGTCCCGCCATGAATTTGTCCTTGAACTGTAGTTAAAGTAATAATAATAAAATATTTAATACGCTATGGTCATAACATTTCAAGAGATGATTATCTTTCGAAAATATACATAGTAGTTTATACTGAAATATTTACTACAAATAGTCAAAAGCCGAAGTTCAACCAAAGGGCAAACCTGCAAAAAAAGTAAGTTGTTGTTTTAAACTTTTCTCATTAAACGTATCCACTAAATAGTTCCAGAAGCTTGTTGGGATCTTTGTTAGTGTAACAGTAATTTAGTTTCACTTTTAACAGAAATTCCCGGTTTGTATAAACTTTCTTTTAACTTCACATCCCTTTAACATACAACTTTAATGAATTTTAATTATTTTGGTAAAGTATTAGTATTTTATTTATTTTATTTTTATTTATTTAAGGACCACTAGTAGCTACTACATGTTTAAATGCCAAATGTAAAACAATTAAATGAAAATAGGTAACATGTGAAGCTTTTTAAAGTAGCCACAACGATTACAATGTTTGTTTTAAAAATACATTAATACATAATTATAGCGAGAAAGATTAAAAAATAATAATAATAATAAGTTAAATTGATAAAAATTAAAAACCACTAAAAATAAACATGCACTTAATAAAATTAAAAACACAAATAAGTAGTTTGAATTTATATAGGTACAAATTAAAATTAAATAATTCATTAAATTCATGCATTGTATATATTACAAAAAAAATCACTAAAAATATACAAATTAATACAAAATAAAATTAAGATAAATAGCTATTAAACATTTATTATTTATTTATTTATTTGCATCCCTCAACAATTCCAGCGCCCGTTTATGAAATGTCATGGCAGAGTCATTAAAAATATCTAGATCTTGACTAAAACCATTGTATAGCCGAGATGATCTAGACATTGGTGCATTACTTCCTAATTTCGTTTTTGATATTCTGACATCAAAGGTAGGTACCCAGAAAACTACGAGCATTGCGCCTTGGAATACGATAGTGTATCTGTTCAAGTAAGCAAGTACAGTCGACCTCGTTACGAATTATCTTGAATAGGAATAAAAGATCTAATCATTGTCTGCGTACAGAGAGACTATCCATATTGAGATCTTTCAAGAGATTAAATGTTATAAATGTTTTATGTGTTCGCTAAGTATGAATTTATTGTCTTCAACTATGTATTTCAGGTAAGACATAAATGAAGTACTTAGGTACCTAACAACCTAACAACCTTGAACCTTTTACATCTAACGCAAACAAAATTCTCTCTACATCACCAAAACTATAATAGTATATTCAATTAATATTTTAAGCAGAAATATCTGGTTTTGATTAGTGTTACAGTATTCATCCTATAAGTTTGTAAAAAGTGAAGCTCCTATATGTAAGTTATAACGCTTTTCAATGCTCGGAACTTCCCAATACAAACATGGAATAGTCTTGGCGCTTAACTCAACAGGCTGCTCATATACGATTTGTTGGGTTACATATCATTTAACTTCTTCCAAGACACTGAGATATTCAAATACGGATCTCGTATACGAAACATTTATTTTATCCACATAAAGTTATCATATTTTTTTAATTATTACACGGTAACATTTCTAATATTTCATAGATTAATAAGAATATCCCAACTGAAAACGTCTGGAAAAGTAATTAAGCACAAAAATACTGTTACAAACTCACAAGTAGGTCTGGATGATTGTGAGGTAAATTGTGTTAGCATTTGCACTACTAATCTCGACTCGACTCGAAAATATTTTGCGAAAGCTACTTTAAATTCATAGGTCAGATCAGATATAATTTAACACTCTTGCGAGCCACGTAAGATACGCTTCCAGAGCTACTATCAAATATATTATTTAGGAGATCTAAATATATCTGGTATCAGCTATCAATAAATAAGCTAAAGTTATTTCTAAAAGTATAAAAATATTTCATTTGTCTAATTCTTCGTTTAAATTATAACTGTAACCTTGAGGTGTCAGACATATATATCGAATACAAGTTTACTTATTTCAAAATAATGCAAACATATTTTTAAACTACTTAAACTGCTATTCGGAAAAAATTGTAATTCTAATAGGAAAAGAAACCAAAAATCGACTCATCAATACAGAACGGAAGAGTATGATGTTGTTGCTGCTTTCTCTTTTTAAACAAGCTTGCCAAAGACAGACGCGTATAACGAAATTATGTTTTTTCTCTCTTCATCGAAGAAACATTTTCATTCACATACCGCTTTTAGAATGCTTGCACAATCGACATAGTTAATATTTCTTATGTTGCATTTACTTCCACAGGCTAAAAATTTTATCACCAATGCTTAAATTTAATATCTGTACTATAATCTAACCACTACTAGCCGCCATCTTGTCTCTATTAGTCGCCATTCGATTGTTTACTGAAGTTGTTTTGTGATTTATATAAAAGAGTTAAAACAACAAATTACGTCGTTTTGTGTAAAGGAAGTGATAATACTATTTGTTCTTGTGCCATCGTATAATGTTATTCAGTTGGCATAGACGGTGCTAACTTATTAGACTACAGCTGGCTATGATTAAAACCATAACCACATAAAATAAAGAAGGCGTTGGCTATTAACAAATAATACGGGTAAATGCAGGTTACTCAGGCAGGTGTGTACATTAGAATACATTTAAACTTGTATAAGATTTACGAAATCAAATTGTTTCTAATAACGTCTTAATGACGTCTATTCGTTTAACCATATCAAAGCGATACATTAATAATTTCAGATCAGAGTAGCTCTAAAAGGGTCGGAGTCGCGGAACATTTAATAAATTTCAGATCATCGCCGAATTTTAAGAAAATGAAAAAATTTATAAGATCTAAAATGGATCATATAGAAGTAACGAATCACACGGCTCCGGATCCGCCTCCAAATGTTTGTAGTACATCGAGCTCGGAGGTCCAACCGCCATTGCCATTAGACCCACCACCTCCTGACGAGATATTCAGCTTGAAAGTTAAAAAAGAAATGGATGACTCAAAATTCGAAAACGGCTCCAGTGAGGAAACGAGTGAAACACATAACAATGAAGTAGTGAATGGAGTTAATGGACTTAATGGTTCACAGCAAGAAATAACAGAAAAATCTAAAGTAACAATATGCAGGGACTTCATAAGAGGGTCATGTAAACGACCCGGAACTTGTCGATATGCACATAAATATGATCTGAGCCAATTAGTGGGTGTGTATACATTTTGTCGCAAATACCAAACCGCAGTTTGTACATTCCCCAACTGCAAATATGTGCATGCATCCGTATTTGAAGAGCATCACTTCTATAGAACAGGCGTTTTACCACCTCATGCGTTGGCTCATCATAAAAAGAATAATGCTGTGCAACCAACGGTCCCACAACAGCAACCACAAGGTAAAATGTAAACCATATATATAATATTCATATTATAAACATTTATTTCACTAACATAAATATATTGGTATAACTTTAGTAACATTTGTAGTTAAAATAGTAATTTAAAACCAAAATTTACTTAGCATAGTTATCTTAAATACTACTTTATTTCTTTTAGTTATATTTAAAAACAATACCTTATTTTTATAAATTTCATAAATAAATTTGCATTAAATTTCTTTGTAACACAATTATCTATATATTAAAATTATAAAGACTATAATATCTTACTAAGTCTGTGTTTTAATCATTTCATTATCTGTGCTTACAGATCTCCAGAATAATTTGACATTGAACACAAATATGTCAATTAATCTTACATTAAATACTAATATGTCTATGAATCTGCCATATACAAATCCTCCGCCTGTTCACAAGTAAGTTCTTTTTATAGAAGAATACTTCTCTATATTCTATTTTTTTTGAATAAACATGTAATATAATGAAAATAATTATTACAGAACGGGTATTTTGCCACATGGTTTGGCTCATCATAAGAATATTAACCAAATACATCCCCCACCCCCACCACCGCCTCCGCCGCCACCAGGTAAATTAAATAATGCATATATATATATGTATATATATATCTTTATATATATATATAATTCTTCTGTGAGTGTGTATGTCACTGAACTTCTCTCAAACGACTGGACCGATTTACTATGTGATTTTTTTTGTGTGTTCAAGGGAACACACAAAAAAAATCACCTCCCCTTGGATCTGGGAATGGTTTAGATTCACAATTTTGTCCGCTGGGACAATGTTTTTTTAATTAATTTTTAATTTATTAGTAGTTGTTGATTTAGGAATGTTTTACATTGGATCCGACAGACGGCGCTACCATCGCAGTGTCAAATTTTAAATAATATTCGAATTTTAATTTAGCCTGTCCTGAAAGTTAGCGCTGTGATCAAATTAAAATTAAGTATTGTTATCATTGTGTTATTGTAGACCATGTGCTGGATCAATATTAAATTAAAAGGTACTGGATGTTTCGAGAAGAGTTTTAAAGTGTGCCTAAAAAACTATACATCTACATCTATCTATCTATTTTATCTATATATATATATATATAAAAATGGATTGCTGTTCCTTAGTCCCGCTAAAACTCGAGAACGGCTGAACGGATTTATCTTATCTTGAAATGTTTGTGGAGGTTCAGGGAAGGTATAAAAGCTGAAAAAAAATGATTCATTACTGGGAAAACCATAAAAACAGCCCTTTTCTATTTCCCATACAAACGGTTTTTTTTGACATTAGATTTGACAACTAACTATGTAGTATGTCAATCATTCTGTCGCACTTCAAAACACGGTATTTATGGCTTTAATAGGTAAACTCTAAAAATATAAATAATAAAACGTTTACAAATATTTCTTGATTATAGTGCGATACGAAGTTCGCCGGGTCTTCTAGTATTCTATAGATTTCATCATAGCTTTTCAATATCTTGCTATAGTAGAATAAGAATCAGTTGAAATGCAAACCAAGTGATTGGTAACTAGACAAAAATACTTCTCTCATAGTTAAATGGTGATTAGAATGTTCACAAGCCACACTCTTTGACCTTGGGTTTTTTGGGGAGTTTCCTATAAGTTTTGCATTCAAAACGAAATTCCATTAAAATTAATTAAGTAGGTAATGTTGTCATATTGCTTGTTGTAGCAGCAAAATATTGTCCAAAACCTCCAAATTTATTTGCCAATGTAGGAATTAAATTTTTGTTTCCAAAAAAATTTGAGTTATTACTTCATAATAATTACTAAACGGATTTCGATTAAACTTTTCACTGGTACAATTTCGATGTCAGAATAAGTAATAGGTCTTATTTTACTATAAAATTCTGCATAGTTTATTGAACTCGGCATTTTATTTATAGTAACGTTTCAAAAACGAGATGGCGCTTAAAGTTTTTTAGTTTATCTATTTTATCATAGTGTACATTATTATTTTCCATTTGAATCCACACGGACAAAGGCGCGTGTATTTACTAGTATATAAATAAAAGTAGTTATATTCCATACTAAATATTAATTATTAATATCTTTTCAGAGGTCCAGAATAATTTTACAGATGATAAATCTATGTCATTGAATCATCCAATGATATTCACGAACCCGCCTCCACCTTTACAAAACGAGTGAGTATTAGAATATATATAAAAATATTAAAGTAGGAAATACCCAATAGGAAAAAGTCAGTGGTGGCCTAGTGGTTAAAAGGTCCTCCTCTCATTGCCGAGGGCGCGGGTTCGATCCTGGCCCGGGCAAGTACCAATGTAATTATTCTGAGTCATATGTACTTTCTAAGAGTATTTAGACATTACTGATTAATGTTGATTCCCAAAAGAGGGTTGATGTCAGGCAGGCGGCCGGTCTTAAAACAATTAGCCAAAACTATTCACAACATGTACGGCAGACCCAGGCTATAGCCGGGAAATTGCCAGGTAGAAAAGAAATATTAACGTAGAAAATATTATTTATTCACATTTTCTAGAAGATTAATTTTAGTTTTTCTATATAATACATATAAAAAAATATTGATTTTCAGAATATCTCAAATTGACTCGAAACATTCGAAGTCATCAAAAAGAATTTTATTAGAACATCAAAACAACATTGAGCCATGTAAGTTGATTTTCATAAATAAATAAAATAAACAAAAAATAATTTTCCAGTACAGTTTGTTAACTTCATAAATTTTGTTGAATGGACCAGTATTAGAAACTATTTACATCATTTAAGTATATGTATGAAATTAAAAGCATTTCGTTTCACCCAAAGTTTTATTACATATCTATGCATAACTAAAGTACAGTATCACATAAATTGATTATATATAATTATGAAATGAGGCCAATAGTAATAGCCAATAGAAAATGATGATTCAAAATTAATAAATAAATGAATTGAATTTAAGAGAGTACTTATTACTAGATAATCTTATCTCCTGGTACTTCTATAGAAATCACGTTGGAAAGAAAATGTGCCATAGAGATATCTCGCACTGGTCCCTTCAACGCTATAAGTATGAAAATAGATTTAAATAAAATAAGAAAATATTTAAATTATTAAAATATGCTTTAAATTTGCTTGCGAATTTATTTATATAATAAATTGTCGAAGATAAATGATCATATGTAACTTCACTGTGTTTAAAGTTAAGAGAAGGCTGTGAATCTGAAACTATCGATATATCACTCTAACCCATCACTATTACATCACTAGTTTGATGATCTGTAACAATCTCTTGAACTGTATCAATTGGTCCCTCCAAACATTAAGTTATTATAAAGAAAGTACAATGCAAATTTGATAATGCTTTGCTGTGTACTGATAACAATAAGCCTGTTTGAATCTAAATGTTGTTTGGTCGAAGCGCACAGCAACCTAACACGTGGCTCGTCTCCTTGCTGCAGCGTAACAGATGTAAATCAATATAGATTCATAGTGATAGTCCAATGAAAGTGTTTCTCACACTCCGACCTCACGAGCACGTGAAGTGATCCACAGTAGATGTATATTGTTCCTATAGTACAGTATAGTATAGTATACTACTGCCTAATGAATGACTGCCTGTCTGTTTGTGTTTAACGCCGAGCGAGTGTAATTATGGCCACTTGATTTTGTCTGCAGTCGGCAGCTCGCCCAGCGACCGCGACACCTATGAACCGTTCCCAAAAAAATGCAAACATTGTGATATCATGGATTTCAGGTTTGGTATAAAAGCTTACGCCCGTATTACATTCTCATTGTAGTTTTAAAGTTTACGATCTGCTTCTACTTTGTGTATTACGCGAAATTAATTAAACGAAACTAAATTCAGCCCAGGCGATATTGACTAATAATATTTTTGGAAACAAAGTTAAAGTTAAAGACAAGTTACACAAGAATCAGTTGAACATTGCACTTGTTTGGTATTTGAATAGATTTTAATATTGCTTAGAGTTTTTAAAGATAATAATTTATATAAATGGTTGTGTCATTAAATTGGTTGTGTTAATAAAGAAAATGTAATTCATTCATACCACTAGACATATTATTAAAAACAAAAATCAATATATTTCGCAGATTGCAATACCACAAAGACGAAACAGAAAAGATGGCGCGTGCTAAAGACCAAAAAACTGAAAATACGTGCCTGTTAGTAAATAAGAAGAAAAAAATCAATACACTTATATTGGCCCTATTCAAGGTAAGTTTCATATCCGTATTGACAATCATAAAAACGGTACTAGGCTACATATTAGCTATTTAATGAGGTCTTACCCATGAAATAAAGACAGCGAAACAAGATGAAAAGTATAAATAAACGCAATGCTGTTTAGTTTTTGTTCAAAATTCATATGTGTGCTGAATTTTATTATTTTCTTAATCTAGTAAATTCTCAGTCAAGATCAATAAATATAAATAATTAAGATATAACTTATATGAGAAAACGGTGTGATAATGTAGCTTAGACATCATATTAAGATATGAAAGTAGTAATTTATATACATGTGAACGATATGTGAAATCGAAATATTGCACTTAATATAAATCGAGAGAGGCGTAAGATTATATATGTATCGTACGCTTGTTAATCTTCAAATAACAAAAGTTTTAATAACCCATGTTTCAGTTGCGATCCAAAGATCAATTACTTGGCGACAAGGAGACCAATCACGGCGGCGAGAAAGATAAGGTAAAATAAATGTCTCTTTTATTTAAAAAAGTATGTTCTTCTTTATAAAATTCCACACAAAAAAATATTACTATATATTTCAATCGTTGTTGTAAACCAAAATAAGCTAGCAGTCCCTGAATGTCAAACAAAATATCCTATCTGATCCCTTTTCATTCAAAGAAAAAATTCTATTATACATCAATATAAAACAGTTAAAATGAATAAAGCCTTTTCAAAGATACCTCCACTGGCTGCAATAGCCCTTTCTACATCGAAGCCAGCTATCGCTAGTAGAACTCGTCCTTTCTGTGGGGAAATTTTTATTGTCAATCGTAGGGAACATTTAGTCTCCATATTATGTGCCGTTTTCTGAAAACCTTTCTCACTAAAACTGACCATAAATCATAGTCCAATTGATTAATATACAGATATCATAACGGTCAGTTTTAGCTCTAATATAGTCCTAATGGTCATATATAAGCAAATTCTGATGCATCATGCTTTATGACCAAACACCAAGTCTTACTGCAAGGACTATTTCTGCGTATTAAACATAGTTTTATGAAGGGACTGTGTGATTAACAGCGGTCTGAATAATTTTGATAAACTTGTACTGAAAGTTGGGTATGTTTTTTACAAAAAAATGTATAAGTCATCGCTTCATTGCTAACACCCCACCAAACCATCACTTAAGGTTCTCGTATAAAGTGCACATAGTACTTTGTTGACTACTTGGGAAGCTTCTTTGAATTTAAGAGTGAAAATTTTTGTTCAGTTAATAAAAAAACTTCAACATTAATAAAAAAAAATCTTTGCCCTTAAGCCTATGAAGGCAGTAAGTACCAAGACATCTTTTAAAGCACTTAGTCTCTGAACTAAAATATTTTACATTTGGTCTGGTTTTCTTCGAATTATTGCCCTTTATTCTTAATCGCTTTTTTCGTACACTATCTGGATGGCCAGATATTTTTCTGTCACAGTGGTTAGTAGCTACATATACAAACATTTGACTGACGCCAAGCGAAATGAGGATTTTAAAAATTGTATTCTGCTACTACTTTATCTGTAGAAATCCCAGTTATTTCCCACCTCTTTATCAATACACTTCATTTTAATATCATAAAATATGTTACAACGAATTGGCACTTAAATAATCTACGTCCCAAAAAGGTAGATTGGAAATTCAACTATATTTTTTATTGGAACAGTATTTTAGAAGATATACTTTGAGGAATGTTTAAAATAATTAATTGTTCCAGACATTTTTAGAGCAGCTAAGCAGCGTCTTCACTGTTAACGGTAGAATGGCGGCCCTAGGAGAGGATGAATAATATTTAAGGTAATGTTCTATTAGGTATTCTATAAATTTAATTTCATTAAGAATAGCAAATAAAACTATTATATGTTTCGATAGTATTTTATATGTATTAAGATATTGGTAATATATAATTTGTATTACATATTTGTTACAGGATCGAGCAGACGATAGTCTGGAAGGCGAGTCATTAACGCCGGCTTGGTTGTAGTGAACTATAGACATTGGTTCACCTTACAACCGACTACGAAACTGTTCAATGACGTTCATATGAGTGGAGTGACTGTTAGATAAGTGGAGTGACTTACTGTGAACTTGACCCGCCCCGGCTCCTCCAGTGTCGGCGATGACTACTGAGAGATGACTCACGGACGGGGCCACGGGCTTCCAACACTCAACACGTCGCGTGGTTCATTACAACCGAGTTACAGTGACTTACGGTACAGTGATCGCCTTTGGGAGGACTCATGATGAGTGACGCTCTAAAGGTTAACAGAGCTTAAGACGACGCTGAACGATCCTTGCGTATATTATTTATAAACAAAAATGCTCAACAAAATCTTTAAAATTGATGGGGATGTAAATAGGATAGTGTATTATTATTTCAATTTCTTAGAGAATCTTAAAACTTATTCTAGTTGTAAAAAAAAAACTACTATTGACCAATTTATTTTATTCATAAAAATAGTTTTTGGTCTTTCATATATCAACAACGATCTTATTAGTATCTCTTAGTAAGTTATAATTATATTAGTTGTCGTGACGTTTGAATTAAATTATTACGTTCCGCCAACAACGCCACAGTCGGACCCGGGTCATGCCACAGCGAAGTTTATTAACATTAGATATATGAAGAGAGATGAACCGAGGAAGAAAAACACCGAATGTAACAAGATACGTACAAGCTGAGAGTCAGCCCTTACTACATGTAGATTGTATATTTTTATATTACGACTTAGCTCCGCCGTCTCCCGTAGACAGACACGCGTTAGTATAGACGAGTGAGTACAAGAGGTAACAACAGCAATACTATCATATAATATTAAGGAAGCGAGTGTTATGCAACTAGTTGTAAGTGTTAATTTAATATTTGCATAAGCGAAATTGCCTTAACGTAGCTGTAACTATATTAGGAACGATCGATTCTAAGTTCTAACGTAGCCTTGAACGCCGAAACCGCCTCCATAGTAGATTTTATAAACTCGGTAGGAACAGATTTTATATAGGACCCATAGACATCGAGACGCGCCAAGGAAAGAAATCAATATATTTATATAGTGGCGAATTAATATTTCACGTAATTAGTGTTTTACTAAGTGCACACACACTATTGTTTAACGATGTAAATATATTTTATATTGTATTAGACTTTGTACTTTCATGTTAAGATGCATTTTTCATTGCACGGTCGGTGCGATCGGAACGAGACGCGGCGTGTGTCGTGTGTGAAGCGACTCGTGTGGCGACAGTGATAATAATAACTCTACGAGGACGTGTGTTGTGTGACTATACAAACAACACACATGTTCACACTTCACACTGTGAGTGTGAGCGCGGGTCACGCCCTCTCTCGGTCTGATCGCCCTCCTCCGTCTCACCGGGTTGTAGAAACCTTTTTAATATTTTAATAACACCAACTTTACTCTTATCGAACATGAATTATATTGAAATCCGATTTATATTTTATTTGTATAACTACACGTGTATGATTCTTTTATAATGAACGATACGACTTTGAAATGTTTTTGATATTTTTAATGTGAAATTTTAGTCATCGTTTTAGGTTTGTTTATATTTTTTAACTTTGTATATTGTGTGCCCCGACCGCTTCTTGATAACAAGCTCAGCTCAGGTGTTACGTCACAGTGAAGGCTAGTAGCAGGCAGTCGGTGCTATTTTCATGTATTGTTGTATATAAGAGTTCCTATTTGATCGAAATGGCAATAATAATAATAATACCTCCACATTATAGAACGACGCGGACAGATTGTGTGTTGTGAGTTTGTGTATCAAGAGCGGTGTATGTTTGATTGTATGAGGAATAGCATAGCAATGTTTAATTGAAATACAATTTAACTATCTTATTATTGTTTTGTTTTTACCTCAAAATTATACAAAAAAAATACAGTAATTGCGAATGTCTTTCACAGTATTTAGTATATAAATTAAAATTCTATTTCATGCAATAATTTTATTATATTGAAACTTAGAATAAAGTAGTACGGAATTTGTCATTATTTTTTTATCCCTCGCCTTTGAAAAAGAAGAAAGCAAGCGAATTAGTTCTGATTATCGTTTATAAAAAAATCATATTACATTAAGCTCCTATAACAAATTGCGTTTATACCAAGCGCCCTATTCTTGTTTTATTCCACTACCTTTGACCTTTATATCATCTGCAACTGCGTTCATTATTTATCATGGGTAATTGATAATGAGTTCATTAAGAGATAAGTCATTACAGTATTTTTCCTATAGAGTTTATCATTCTACATACATTTTGTTTTGGTAAACACATTTCTATTTTCTGCGTTTTTTCCTTTTCATATATCATACTTTATGCCATATTAATTCGTTTATAACTTTGTATTAATGCGTGTGTTATCAAATTGAATTTTAAAAGCCTCTATCTGCTATTTTAATTTTTATTTTAAATGTATGACGATTCGAATTTTATTTATTTATCATATTGCGATATTTTGCTTTGAAAATATAGATGGCTTCAACATTTTCTCTAAACGGCGTTGATTCAGTTGTATACAAATAATATTATTAAAAAAAGCGTATAAATATTACGGTAGATTTTAATGCTGAATAATATTTAGTTTTGATGTCGTAATTCTCATTAAAAATTATCTGATTGCTGAGCATTTTCTGCAATGAATACGATGTTGTCCAAGAATCTTGAATAACTCAGGAACATGCTTTTTATATGGACAACATTTTTTTCGTAATTTTGATGTTTATCTTAAACAATATATCTTAACCTTTTTGTTCACGCTTCTATGGGCTATATTAGATCAAATAAGACTTCCGCAAGCTTCCATCCTGCATTTTTTTGAGAAATTCCCTCGTCTACCCAATTACCCTTCGATGCATAATAAGTATAATGTGATATTACTTGGTGCAAAATCTTGCGTGCTTGCACTATCGATTGTTGTTTTCCAATAAGTATTCAATATTCTGTCTTACAATGCAAGCGGGCTAAGCACTTCATAATTGGCATTATTTTTAATTATTAAGACACTTCATTGCTCTCGTAAGCCAAAAATTGTTTTATTAGTCTATTTGTTCGTGATATTCATTAAAATCACAAAAGGAAATGACTTCCTGCTATAAAATCCTCAATATACCATTTGGTATTCTTGTGTGACAATAGTTGAAATGCTAACTTAAACTTTTTAAGATACATAATTTTAGGCTATTAGCGTAAGCCCGTTAAAAATGTTATGAATCATTTAATTATACGCAAAATAAGATTTATTACATGTCTTTGGGGCTGAGAAGTAATGGTATTATAATTGGCCACCATTGCTCATGGAAAAAAACAATTGGACTTATATTGCTAAAGCGTTAACAGCCTTTTTTTATTCAGGAAGTAGTCGTATACGAAACTATTAAAAGACTCATGTAGTAAAGGTTAAAGGGACCGTTAGAAGGAAGATCTTTCCAGAGGTTATATTTTCGTCGCACCAATCATAGAGTGAAGTTATCTTCAAGCAAAAAAATGCGATTGTGAAAAACTCAGCAATTCTTCAGAAGATTCCTCATAGAACTAATAACACAAAAAGAGCCCACATCCGTTAAGAGGTTAGAATGGTATGAAAATCCAGTGAGTACAGGATTTGAGATAACAATTCCACAATAAGTCGGACTAAGCTTTATAATATTGCAAAAGCGACTGTCCCAAATCCTTTATTTCTCTACTTACCTTCAGTTTTTTATTTAGATGAATTCCTCATTTTCTTAAAAATTTAATGTTATCCCACATCGGCCCCCAGAATATTTATCAGAAAAGCTAATAAAACTCATGATGATTTGTAAAAAGGTATCGACGAAAGTTTGACCAAATTTAAGTTGTATCTAACAAGACAACATAATCTCTTTCCCAAAGATGTTTGAATTTTAAACACAAATTTGAATCTAGTCCCCTTTTCATGTTCTGAAAAGTTAATTTTAAAAAACCTTATTTTGTTACATAGCAATAAGTGTAATCATTTGAGTAATATTTCGCATATTTAGTACTTTTTATTGGTGAAAAATGTTTCAGACAAAAAAGACAATTTTCTTATATCTTATGCATACTACAGTCATACCAATTTTCTGGCGAAATTGTATGGAAAATTGTAATGTAAGAAGTTTAAACTTTACGATGACTTATATTAATCAAAAAATGTAATTTAGAACGTCTTTCATGGTCGTCGATACCAACTCAAAATGACTAAGCGCACATTGAACTACATAATACATATTAGCTTGAGCACTTCTCGCGATATTTTTACTTTGGTGACATCCTTTCCATTTAATTTCTTCATTTTAAAGCACTCCTTAACATTATAACGCGATAACATTGTGTTAAAATAATAGCGAAATTTCTTTATAAATGGTGTGTGATTATACCTATATACTTACAAAGCTCTAACACCCTTCAATTTTTTGAGTTACACCTAGATGTAATAAATCCTTTGTGTCAGTTGATCAGGAACCGCCTTCAATTCAATGCTAAAACCATAAAACGCTGTTTTTGCACCACCTCATAATTTTGGAATTTTTTTGGTGTATGCCTAATACTATTGTACATGGCGCAGTAAATATATAATATTCGCCAAGCACTGGATCACAAAAATTATATAACTCTTTTTTGTCTACAAAGTTTTAATAACATTTTTAGTTATTTCCCTAAAAATTTGTGATTTCAATAGAATAAAAAAACAGTAGGGCAAGATCAAGCTGTAATAGATATTTGGTAAGTTAAATAATAACTGAACATAAAAAATGGGTACCTAATCTTGTTTCTCTCTCGATTCTACGTGTCAAGGTTTATAACAGAACAATGGTGGTGAGTACAATTATTACTTTGTAGAGTATAATGAAGATGAAAATGGTAAATATAAGCAAAAATAATAAAATTTTGTATCCGACTCTATGGACCTCTATTACGACGACATATATGATTAATTAAAACTACAATAAACAAATGTATTCAGTCAAAGAAAGTTCCTATATTGTACAGATACCAAAATAAAACAAAGTAAAAACTTGGTGAGTTTTTACAAAACATCTCTGTTCAAAAATATACTTATTTTGGAACATTTTCTATTTATATCTGAAGATATTTTATCAAGTTACTCTCTAACGCATACCGTTTGTTATTCTTCTAGTGGCTTTTCCATTTTTATATGTCTAGCATTCTTAGTCCTCAATAGAACAGATATTTAATCTAACTCAATTTAAATATATTGAGACTAATGTTCACATCATGAATCATACGGGATATTGTAGGTATTATAAAAATTTATTTCTTACAATTCTTTCTCCATATTCTTCAAATTGTTTCTTGGATATCCACATTTTCTGGGCATCACCCAGCCCTGCAAACGTGGCTCCGCCTAACCAAGCCACAGCATATGCTTCTGATGAAGACAGAATTGCGATTGGTTTATCAACCTGCTTAACAATCTCGTCTTCCAATCTTTCGTTAAGCCCTGGAATAGTAGCCAATCCACCACATGGAACTATGTTATTCCATAATTCCAACCTTAACTCATCATCACATTTCAAAGCAGATGTAATAACAGCTTCATGCAACGGTAAAAAATTAGTAGGTTCTCCTTTAACGAGATCTGGTTGAAATAATAGTTCTGCTGCCATAAATGCCTCATCACTGACATCTATTTCTTCACCACAAGGCAATGTGTACTTTTTGAAATATTGCTTTCTGGTGACAGCACAGTTCCTTGTTACATATAAACAATTTTTGATAATGTCCTCTAAAGTGCTCGGAGACTTAATTGTTTGCGAACCATTGCGCTCCAATAAACTTTTTTTTATGAAATCTGCTATTTGCAGTCCTGCTAAGTTTGTTTTCATGTGAGCGTATTTCATCATTCCTCCCTCAAAAATGGGTATTATATCTGTAGTGTCGTGTCCGATATCTACACATAGACCAGTGGTTGTTCCAGAACCATACATTGCCAAAGAACACTGTGGTTGTATACATAAAGCTGGAGAATTAAGGGTTTCAAAGAATATTTCACAGCATTTTATTCTGAAAAAAGATAAAATACTGTTTTTATCATGAAAAACTTATTAAAAATCATTGGAGACTAGGGTGCCTATAATAAATGAATAAAAGTTATTTCTAGTCGCAGTTTTGAGTTTGGAGACATGTGACGAATTTCTTACTTTTCTGTAATATCTACTGTTGGACCACATGCTGAAATAACAGCACGGTCTTCAGGTGCCGCTTTTAATTCTCTATAAAACACATGATGCCAAATTTTTTCCATATTATCCCAATGAACAATCCTTCCCTCGACTATTGGGTGACATAATTCCAAGTCTTCTATTTTCTCAATAGCTTCGTCTCCGATAAATATATCATAATATTCTTGAGCGAGACTTCTCTGTGAGAAATTTGGCCTCCCAACCATTGATCTAAATATTGCAACAGGATGATTGTCGCAAGCAAACCCAGCTTTAATATAGTAACTACCATTATCAAGAACAATAGCTGGTTTTTCAAAAGCCATATTATTCTAAAGGCCTTTTTTATTTCCGTTGACAGCTGAAGTTTATCCCTTTTTGACAATTAGTAATTACATTTTTGACGTGAATTCATAAAGGAGGTTTATTTATAAAAAAATACTAAATTTAAATATGTATATACTAGTTTTTGCCCGCGACTTCGTCCGCGTGGAACAGTGACTTCCGGCAGAAAAGTAAAGATAGCTGTGCCCGCGACTCCGTCAGCGTGTAGCTCCTTGTGTATTAAGTTAATGTTTTGGTAATATTTATTACAAATGGGGCAATACCAAACAACTACAAAACTACAGAAATGTTATAAAAATTAAGAATTACGTTAACATGAATAGTTTGGCAGTATTTAACAAATTAACTACAGAAAGAAACTGTTGTCTATAGATATTGTCTATCATAACTTTTTTCTTCTTTTTTTTTTAACGAAAGGAATGCTTATTGGCTGTCGATCGTGCCTACATAGACCGGTAAAAGGTAAATAGCGATAATGTCGTTTTGGCTAGGATTTGAGTTCTCGAGTAAGTAAATATGGTTTTTCGCTTATATGAGGAAAAGTTGAACATTTTCCGGGATGTAAAGTAGTCTGTGTTATTCCTGGACTTCATCTCCCTGTATACAAAATTTTATCAAAATCAGTTCAGCCGTTTGAGCGTGAAGAAGTAACAAACATACACACACTCACAAACTTTCGCAATTATAATATTAGTCTGAAAAATGTAAAACCGTGAAACCCATCTGAATTTCAAGTAATATTAGGTATATTTGTAAGTTCCTGTTTGATCACAAGAATCAACTGAAGTGATGTTCCTCTTATAATGAGATCTAAGATTTTCGCGAGTACTCATTTAAATGAAACTAATATTTTCGGCATCTCGTCTGCCCGTGATCATGTTTGCTGAAAAGTAGCCGAAACGTCGGAAGTATGTAGTTTATAATCTATACTAATATTATAAAGCTGAAGAGTTTCTTTGTTTGAAAGCGCTAATCTCCGAAACTACGGGTTCGAATTGAATAATTCTTTTTGTGTTGGATAGTTCAGTTATCGAGGAAGGCTGTGGGCTATATAACATCACGTTACGACCAATAGAAGTAAAGATATAGTGGTAAATGTGTAAAAAACGGGTGAAATTATTTCATCTTTGAAGCCTTCCGTTGCGTGCGCCGTGAAAACGGTTCAAGATACACAAAAAATATGTATTAAAGAATAATAGCTCTTTTAATGATCTAAAAAACAATCCGCGACAGTATATGTCCATCTTTTAAGATTAACTCACAAAAACCGTTTTTATGGTACCTAATTTGGTCGAAATAATTTGTTTAAGTTGTATCAACATAATAATATTAATCTTTATTCAAATAAACAAATAAATATGTTGTTGGTTAAGAGTACTTCATTGTGAATAAAAAAACATAGGTTTTATCCTGAAAATTCTACGGGAACTCAACCATTCCGAAAACCCCGAAAGAACGGGAACTATGTGGGAAGAACCAAAAATCTGCCGGAAGTCACTATTCCAGGCGGACGAAGTCGCGGCAAAAGCTAGTCAAAAATAAAAACGCGAAGTAAAAATCCGAAAATATTAGTTTCATTTTGATGATAAACAGCTTTATTGTTTTGTGTTTCTGTGAATGAACTTGTTGTATATCTAGACCAAACTTTAAACGGATCTTTCTAATTTACAATTCTTTGAACTCTTTAAGCCTAGCTCTTTAATTATATATTTTAGAAATTCCAGTTAAATCTTTATAGGCAAATTTTCTTTTTTCTATAATTAGTTATGCTGACACACGCTTCAATAATTTGACTGAGGACTAACTTAATAAACGGAAACATTTGTCTCATAGTTTGTTAAAAGATGACCACGTAACTGAATTTCTTAACAAGCTTAAGTGGCTTACATTCGTCACTTTCGATTTTATCTTGAGTAAAAACTTAAGTTCATGTTTTTGCCAATTTCTCTCAATCATTATGTATTCCTGTTCACGTGACAAAGTTTTGCAAAAATTATTCGTATTTTGGAAGGAAACTAAGCCTCTTGGCTCTGGGGCCGCTTTCTGATCACTGTTTTTATGGTTTTTGTTTGGTTTGGTAGAGTTAAGGGTATATAGTAATAGTGATTCCAACTATATTTCAAAATAACAGTTTATTTACCTTAAAAATACTTTTAGATTGCTGAACAGATTTTCTCACGTAATTAAAAAAATGAGAAATTTCTTTTTAATTTACATTGAAATAAAAAAGTAAGCACCCAAAGGAATTGCTTTTATCATTTCCTATTGCGTCAACAGTGCAGAAACCTTACATCACAATGCTCTGCAACATAAAGACTTGCTGCTGTCATGACATCGCTGCCAGCTTGACTATCAATAAAGGTAAGCTATACATTATATATAACTTCGGTTCAAAAACCTTAAACATGGCTACACATAAACATTCATATACCTATTGTTAGGTCTAAATACCATAGAAAAACTGATAAGTACTAGTAATACTAACAAAAAATAATCTTAATTAATTCAGAATTCTTTTACCAGTATCTTCTATATATATAAAAATGGATTGCTGTTCCTTGGTCTCGCTCAAACTCGGGAACGGCTGAACCGATTTGGCTAATTTTAGTCTTGAAATACTCCTGGAAGTCCAGGGAAGGTTTAAAAGGTGAGAAAAATTGGAATAATTGCCGGGAAAACCCTAAAAACAGCCCTTTTCTATTTCCCATACAAACGTTTTTTTTTTGACATTAGATTTGACAACTAACTAAGTCAATCATTCTGTTTGATTGAAACAGGAAAAACCTGATTATTTATGGCCTCGAAGACGGAATAGAGTTCGCCTGGTCAGCTATACCTACATATATTACTCTTGACCAAACTAACGCGGACGAAGTCGCGGGCAAAAACTAGTAAAATATAAAAATATGGTCTTAATTTTTCTGTACTATTAGGGATCACAGATAGTCAAATTTAGGGAGACCAGTTTAAATTCGAATTCATTGTCATGAACCTAATGATTAGACGTCTTGTCATAAATAATATTGGACTTATTCTAGTTGAGTTAAAGCTATCATAACGTCTGGTAAAATAACTTATTTAGCTTAGCCAACTTGTCAAATTTCTAAAAAACTCTTAAGTACCCTTATTTAAAAATGGGATGATTTTAATTGAAAAATTCTCAAAACATTTTTATCACTGGCAGTAAAAAAGCTTTAAATACTTGATTATTACTTTTGGATCAAAGGAATGGAATTTTTGCTATTTTAAAACGAGACCATAAACAAAAACTTGCTTCCTAGAGTATCCATCATATAGTAATGAAATGAAATTTCTCATAAGCGATGCGTTAAAAAACAATAAGTTGTTACTCCATCATCACCTCATGACAACTTAGAATTAAAAAAGCCAAAATCGAATACATATATGTTAAAAATGAAATTAATGTTTTTGGAAGAAAAACAATGTAAAGTAAATGAAGATGGAGTTGGTAGTCATAGTTTTAAAAATAACAAAATACTCCATGACACGAAAACAAACTGAATGCTTTTCAAGAAAACTTGCTCCTCATATATTTACGGAGACCTTAAAGTACAGCCAGCCTTATCAAATTTTCGACTATTATTTTTGACAAGTGAGACTAAATTAATATGATGTCATAGGTTTAATGCGGGCAAATGATGCAAAAATGAAATGAAGTCAGCTTTATAAGAGGAACAGGTATTTATAATAAAAACAGATAAATATTTGTCACTCTCAGAAAGAGTTTTGGACATATTAAAAGAAACAATAAGAATAATAAAGATATCGTAGATGAACTAAATTTTACTAAGTAAAAAAGTGGTCTGTTGCACGCATTGGGCACTTCTCTTGTAATAACACGCTAAAATGTCTCCCATAGTTTTAGAAAATAGCTGGTATTCTTAAACCACCAAAAAAATTGATCTTCAAATGAAAAAACCGCACCGAAATCGATTGATCCGTTTGTGAACTATCACCAACGCTAAACTTATAACACCGCTCTTCTTGCGTCGAATTTAAAAAATGGGTCATTTTATAAATAAATTACTCCATAACTTCGATATTGCGTAAGTAAGAAGTTAAAGATCCATCGGAATTTGGTAAATTCAGAAAGCCAACAACACACCAAATAAACTGTTATAAAAAGAAAGATTAAATTTGGGTTTTAAAAAAACACAATGTGACAAATACCTAATTTCTCAAACATTAAGTTTTGCCTTTTATTTAATTTTACTCAGCATACAACTCGTACAGGCAGAAAAGTTACAAATAAGTCCTCACAAAACTTTACATTTCTATGTCAAAATATGGCTTAAAACCTTAACATCTTCAAAAGATGTAAAAAACGACCAAGTAGAGCATCAATGATACTAAGATATGTGTAAAAACATAAATATACTTGTGACATAATATGTATATTTACAATGAAAGGAAAATTAGTTTAAACATCAGGGTAGAACAAGAGTCAAGTATAAAATATAATAAATCGTAAACTTTCTTCATAAAAAATTATTTTTATTGAAATTTATATCATTGTAAACGACTTAGTTGAAACGAAACTACCTATTAAAATATTTACAAAACAAAGCTTTATGGTAAATTGTTCTTTGATAAATTGTAGGACGTTAAAATTAAAAGACTAATATATTATAATGTATATATTTGGTTATTATCTATATCAATAAAAAGTTTATTTAATTTTTTATAATAATTGTTATTAAAACCGTTTTTATGTAATTTAACAAATGTCGTTGTCGCTTGACATACTAAAATATTAGGTACTTATTACATAATACATAATTTATTCGGTTGACGCACCGTCATTTCACTCAATCTTTTATCATACCCAAATTAATTAAAAGAAAACTTAAAGGTATATAATTTACAGGTAAAAACAAAACAATAATAGGATAGTTAAATTGTATTTCAATTAAACGTTGCTATGCTATTCCTCATACAATCAAACATACACCGCTCTTGA